TTCAATCTCTTGAAGACCTTCTACGAGATTGCATTATGGAATTCAAGGATAGTTGGGACAAGTCTCTGCATTTGATTGAGTTCACCTACAACAACAGTTTTCATACAAGTATCGGGATGGCACAATATGAAGCTCTTTATGGAAGGAAGTGTATGACACCTTTATGATGGTATGAGACAGGAGAGAATCTTATTTTGGGACCAGAAATTGTGCAAAAAACTACTGATAAAGTGAAAACCATTTAAGAAAAGATGAAGACAGCACAGAGTAGACAAAAGAGTTATTATGACAAGAGGAAAAATTTGTTGGAATTGGAAGAGGGTGACCATGTATTCCTGAGAGTTACGCCTGCTACTGGAGTTGGAAGAGCTCTGAAATCTCGAAAACTCACCCCAAAATTTATTGGTCCTTACCAAATTCTGAAAAAGATTGGTCTTGTGGCTTATCAAATAGTCTTACCTCCAATTCTTTCAAACCTCCATAATGTTTTTCATGTCTCACAACTCAGGAAGTATATTCCTGATCCTTCTCACATCATTGAACCCGATACAATATAATTGAAGGATAATCTAACTAATCAAGCACCACCTGCGCGTATTGTGGATCAAAGGATGAAGCACTTACGTGGAAAGGATATACTTGTAGTTAAGGTCGTATGGAGTGAAATAGGTGATGAAGATGCAACGTGGGAGCTAAAAAGCAAAATGAGGGAATCTCACCCTCACATTTTCTCATAAGGTAAACAAATTTCGGGGACGAAATTTTCTTTTAGGGGGGTAGAGATGTAACATCCTCAATTTCGCTTAATTGTGTAAATCGCAATTAGCTTACGTAATGAGTTTAGAAGGTAATTCTGCTATTTTTTTTAGTATAATGGAGTTAGAACGGTTAAGTGGTTCTTTTAGAAAAAATATTTTCCTATTTTTAAGAAATTTTTGATAATTTTTAATTTAAAAAATTTCAAGTTTCAAAAATTTCTTTTTGTACATGGTTAAAATTATTTTATAAAGCTAAAATAATAATTTATTTCGGAAAAAAATTGTAAAAATAGAAAAAAATTATATTATAGTTAGAAATATTATTTGAAGAATAAAACTAATTTTTTTTATAATTATTGAGTATTTTTGGATTTTTTTTATTAATTTTAAGTAAAGTAGTTATACGTGTAAGTAGAAATTGCGTGTACATTTTTTTTAACATGAATTGAAACAAAAATAGTGTCAAAAAAATTTATTTTATAATTATGTTTAATATATTTTATGATTATTTATAAATTTTGGTATTTTTATCTAATTATTTCAATTAATTGCAAAAGAAATAAGTAAAAATCTTAATATTATATTATTATTTTTATTTTCCCTCTCCTATATAAGATAAGAATAATCACAACTTTCTATTCTCATGTTTGGTTGTGCGTGAGCTTCTCTTTCATTCTCTTAAGGGTTTTGATTTGGTTGGTTTCAATTTCATAATTTTTAACATAAGTCAATTAATTTTACTATTTCGCCTATTTTCATCATTCTAAACACTTCTAACCGATTAGAATTTTATTTTTCTCTTCAATATTTGCTGCTAAATTTTGTGAGAAATGGGTCAAAAATGAAGTTTTCAACTCATACTTTTATTGCTTAAATTTTGTTGTCTATTTTCATCTCTAGTATATGCCTATGCAAAATATGATTTAAAACTCTAGGAAAGTTGATTAATTAGGGACTAAATAAGATAATTAATGGCTGTTTTGGAGGCTTTGGAGAGGATAATTGACTCTCTTCCACTTGTATTACTTCCATTAGCATCGATTTAGGCCCTAGAAATGATTTTATAACTCAAATAACCATAGTCTTGAATTTTAGAATCTTAAGCTATGAAGGAGGTGAGATTTTAGAGGTCTAATATGGTTGGAATTAAGGGCTTAATTGGGGTATTTAATTGACATGTAGGAGGCTACTTAGAGGTGCAAAGAGGAGACCCAAAGACTTGGTAGATTATTTGATCAAAAGTTGCCCTTTACCAAGTTACAACATAAGGTAAGGGGTAGGATAATTTTTATGGTTCATTTTTGCTTGAAAATTGGAAAGAAGTCTCTTTACTTCTAAGTTAATTAGAAATTTATTTGGAATTATTTGAATGTTGTTTCTATTTTTGATGAATTTTTTTAAAGTTTTAGGATTATGTGAATTTTGTGGCTTCTAAATGGAGTAACTTGATTGTATGGAACCTTGTATGAGTATAAGACATCCATGAGTGTTGTTTGAATCAATTGTTTAATTATTAGTAATTTTATATGATTTATTGATGAATTTAGATTGAGAATTAGTTTATTTCTATGTTTAGTATTATGATAATTGTTTTAAATTAATTATTGAAATATATTGTATGTATGTTATGAAGCATGATAAGTAGAAAATTATTGTGGAGTATTTTTGTTAAGATGGATTAGCATGTAGAATTGCATTGTATAATGAGATGGAAGGATGGTTTTGTGAAAAAATAAAAGTGTCCTGGGTTGTTTCTGATTATTTTGCTGTTGTTTAAAAAAATTTTGGGAATATCCGATTTACAGAGGAGACTCTGTAGGATTTTTTTTAGAAAAAGCCTAGTGTTATTTTGAAAATGTTAAGATGTGATTTAAGTATAATGAGGTGAAACGAAGGTGAAAGAGTGTGAAGAATTTATGATAAGTCATGCATCATGTTCATGAGTTACAAATTGAATGTATGAGGAGGATATGGAAAATCAGGGTCGGTTCCATGCTAACCTGGGGGATGATTGATTGTGATCGAGTTCACATGTGGCTTAGGCTCGCTACCTAAGTTGTGAGTCTCTCACTACCAAGCTTGATTATGAGTATATTGAAATTGAGGAAAAGAGAAAGTGGTTTTTGGGATCCTCATGGTCTTGCATAATAGGATGTATCCTAGAAAAGATTAATAGATACATAACATTCATAATATCATATCATTTGTGTGTTGATTGCTAGTATGTTTATATGTGTAGTTTCTAATTAACTCAATGTTATTTGTATGCTCTAAGTGAATATAAAGTTGTCTTGCCCTTTATGGACATGTATTGTTGTTATGAAATGTTTGCATAGGTGACGTTGAACACAACTCATCCCCAGTACCATCTCCAAGTAGAGTTTAATTATGATCACTACAAGCACTAGGTAGAGGACTTGATCGGACATCAATACAGTACTTCAAGAGATACTTCATTTTAGTGGACGTACGAAATATATCTCCTTTTTTGTTAGGTTTTATAGTTAGTGTTTTGTCTGCTCTGGTCTTGTGAACCCTTGTTAGGTGTATTGTGGGATAACTTTGTGTATATTTACTATCTGATTATACTTGATACTTATAAATGATGATATATTAATCACTAAGTATATGTTCTATTTATTGTGTACATTATTTCTACGAGTGTGTATTAGTAATCAAATACTAAGAGGAACTAATAATAAGTAATAAATAATAATAAAGTGAATGTTAGTAGTAAAGGTGTCACATCTCCATCATAGTTAATTGGTAAAAATTTTCAATTGGTGACAAATTGAAAAAAAAAAACCCAAAAAAAAAGAAGAAGCTAAAAGTAACATTGGTTAATAATCAAGAAAAAAACTCATATTGATTTTAGCTGAAAATTTCTTAGGAGAATTCAATTGAAAAATAAATTCAACTAACATTAGATGAAATATATCACTATCTAACGATATTTTTGAACTATTAAATATTACTTAATATTAAAATGATTTTTTTTATTTAACTATAATTGACATACTTTTTCAAACATAAAACTTAAAATTCTATAAATTTAAATTATCATTGTCCAAACAAAAACTTGAAAAATTTGAATTGAAAGTAATTCAAGTTCAATATATTTGAATTTCTTAAAAATTGTAAAGTTTTCTATTTGAAACAAAATGTTAACATTTTCTTATGTTGTAACCAATTAGAAAATCATATGACTAAGAAATTAGGTAAAGTTCTTTTGGAATAAAATTGACGTATTATTTTTCCTTAAGCATACATTAAAAATATAATTATGCTTTATTTATATCATTGTTTTATCATTCTTAGTTACAAGGAAATTATTGAAGTGAGGCAAAGAATCTTTTCAATTCTAATTTACTTGGGTCACTCATAAAAGCTTTGAGAAAGTGGTAAAAGGTACTTGGAACAAGGGAAGTAGTAGTGTTAGAAACATATATTTGTTGATATCTTGAGGAGAAAAAAAAAGTCATGGTCCATAATTAGATGAATTTGAAAAAGGGGCTAAGGAGTAGGAAATTTAAAGGCTCATCGGACTCTAGAAGAAAATAAATAAAGAGTATAGTAATATATTACTTTAAGAAAAAAAAATTATGATACACCTAAATCATTGTTAAAAGAAAATGAAATAAATTTATAATTTGGAGGATAAAACATCAAGTCAGATACCTTAACTTGATGATGAAGCTAAGCAAAGTCTTCTATAGCTCAAGTCACTATAGAAGAGGTTCGTAGGTCAATCATGAGCATGAAATTTTTTAGACCTGTAGGTAAACCTTAAAAATGCTTGAAACTCTCCTAGTCTTAATTCCTAAAGTCAAAACTCAAATAATATGAAAGGTTTTATACCTATTTTATACAATATAGTGTACGAAGTCATAACAAATATTATTGTTGCTTGATCTTGAGCATATTCAAAATGATCTTATATTCTAACAAGAAAATGAAAAGATAATTTAATTATTGCACATGAAATTATTTAGCACATACAAAAGTTGCACACCCGTCAATGGCTCATGTTGTTTTCAGTAGAATGGTTCTATCACACATCATCCATTCCCACTCTTCTATATATGATAACGAAATATGGGAACCAAATATGTACCTAAACCTGCACATGCTAACAACCACTGTGTCCCTACCAGCTACACATAGTAACCATTATCAGTAGGTGAACTTCTCATGTAGTTATCTTATCAACTTAGAACTGTTTCTGAGTTCAGATGACCTCCATTACCCTCTCAGTATTGCTGTTAAATCCAACCACAGGAATGGAGTGTTGAGCAAAATCCAGTAATAACTTCCTCTGGCGCTCATCAGTGTGAGAGGGAGACTAGCACGCAAGAGTTCAACAGGCATTTCTCTACTATTAGCTTTGGCAGCATCTAGTCCAACGTAATCCACATTCGAGGTACCTTGTACAAGCATGGATTGCATGATACTATGATATTTATTCATGCAATACTTGGTGAGAAGACCAAAGAATTCATCAAATGAGGCTTGCCAAAATGAACTATTACCCATGTTGTAGTTGCAAGACAGGCACTCAGAGCACCAAAATCCATTCCTCGTATACATTGGCAAACAACCTTGGCAAGGTTATTTGTAGTCTCTAAAGCTGACAGGTCCAGGGGAGACCACCAAATAAGAATCTTAAATGACTAAACACTGTCATGCAAACTATATCCTCTCATAAGCTCACTGCCAGGAGGAAGAAACTGAAGATACTTTGCAAGGAGCTTCTACATAGCAGAATAAAAACTCTCTAAAATTTATAAACTACCAATTATAACTTCAGATTTTGATTCAGATACTCGACATAAGGACTTACAACCTGAAGCTTAAAAAGGCTAATAGAAATGCAAAAGTAAGAACTCCCTAACAACAATAGTCAGCAATATTGGATCAATTTTCTCATAATTCAAATCAAATGGGTAAAATAGACCAGATCTACACGAACAAACTGAATAAAAAAACACACACAACCATCAATCAAGAAAAGGGTTAAGATAGAAATTTTTTTAATCCCATAGGACAGAGCAAACCTGTGGAAACATTCACGAATGGGCTACTATACTCTGCGTTGGGAACTTTCCCACCATCGTTCCCAATTCCAAATTCATCCACATTCATCACAAAAAGAAAACGAAAGATCGAAACATAAAACACTATTTTTTTTTTCAATAAAACTTAAAATTTAAATAAATAAAAAGCAAAAAAGAAGAATATACGTTCAAATAATTGAGCACATGTAATTTAGTTGGTGAAAATAATCTTGATTCAATCTTTTTAGAAAATCTTACTAGTATGAGTTTTTTCTTAAAAGAAGTTCAAATCTTCACTCTTTTAAAAAAATTAATATATAAACTATTTTAATATAAATAAACAGTGTATATACAAATGATTATATACCAAAAGTATATTACATTTTTATAATAATTATTTTAAAAATTATTCAAAAATATTTTATCATTATCAATATTTTAAACATCAAACATTCACGTAAATTAGATCATCTAGTATTTTAGATATCATGAGAAATTTTTACTTTTCAATATAAACAGTATTTCTATATAATTTAAATTATAAATAAATAAATATTAAAATCAAATGATATGTGGACTCAAAATATAGTTTGACACTATCTCAACCTTTCTTTCTTTTTAAAATTTAAAATTGAGACTTTAATTATTAGTTCACTAATATTTTAATAATACTCTCTTCTATAAATTTCAAATTATCAATTTCATAATATAAATATTACCTAAGGTATTTACTGTTGTGTTATTTATGCAATAATGTATTGAGTTAATTAATAAAATTTAATATAATTGGTGAAAACATGTTTATTTATTATTTATTAAAATAATTTTAAATTTTTTTATTTAAATTAAAAATTTGTTTGATAATTTAACATTTTAAAAAATCAAAATTAATATAATTTTTTTATTTTTATTAATTATAATAATTTCTTCATCAATAAATACAATACATTGCTCACTTTTTATATGTTATTATTAAAGTATTTTCATCTTTTGTTGTTACTTTTTATTATTAGTCATATTTTATCTAAAATAATTAAATAAATATTTTTTAATTTATTAGTCAAAATAGTATTTCAAAATTATCTTTCAAATTATTTTTAAAACTTAAAACAAAGTTAAAACAAACAATTCATTAGAATTTATTTGTTTATTGATTTAAAAAATAGTTTACTAAAAAAATTAATAATTATTTCCTTAAAATATTTTAAAAGAATATTGTTATTTTTAAAACAATAAATATATATATATATATATATATATATATATATATATCCTATTTTTAAATTTACATTTTCATTAATGATAATGATTGGACAATATACTTATATTTACTGCAATGAAGTTATCAAATTCATCCTCCAATTTTAACAACATAATATTATATAGATACTAAATGACTAATGAAAAAAAAAACAGGTATATTATTAAATTTATTTTTTATATTTAACAACAATAATACATGATACAGAATATATATCTTTTAAATATTTAGTTTGTAACTTTTTTTTCAAATATTTATAATTATAATAATATAATTAATATGTTAGTGTAATTAAAAACATAAAATTAACAATCATTAATTTTCCCAAAACACGTTTTTAATAATAATTATAATTTTGTATAACACTTCAAGTGATAAATAGAGTAGTAAAAAAATATACCTCATTTAAAAAGAAAAGAAGAAGGTTATGGTCTTATATTTGTTATAATAATATTGTTTAAAAAATATTGTTTATTTTAAAATTCTTGTACGTTATAGTTTTATTCTACCAAATATTATGATAAGTTAAAAAGAAGAAAATGTATATAAATTATTAACTATTTAAGGTATATGAAAACTTTAAAGGTACGAAAATAATAAAATATTCAAATTAGATAGTAAAATAATATTAAAAAAATAAAAACTTTCTGGAAGAAGTACATTAAAATAACGTTTTTTTTAAATGAATATGTTTATTCTTTACTACTTTTATACCGTTTGAAAAATATTTAACTCAATTTATTAGTGATCTACTTAAGTAATGTCAATATTAAACTTGTACAACTTTCTTTATAAGTTATAAAATTAGTGTTATAAACTATATTAGATTTATAGCATTAGATATAAAAAAAATTATACATCACAAGAGTAATAATTTGTGAAAAAGTATTGTTATATTTACCTTATTTATAACTTCAATTTACTGAATATTATTTAATATTATTTAATATAAAAATGATTTTTTTTATTTGAGTATAATTGACATACTTTATCCAATATAAAAATTAAAATTCATTAAATTTAAATGGTCATATCCAAACAAAAACTTGAAAAAATTACATAATTTGAATTGAAAGTAATTCAAGTTTAATATATTTAAATTTCTTGAAAATTGTTAAATTTTCTATCAAAGATATGGTTAATATTTTCTTATATCGTAATTAATTAGGAAATCATATGACTAAGAAATTAGGTAAAGTTCTTATGGACTATTTGGTTTTCCTTAAGCATACACTTAAAAATATAGTTATGCTATATTTAGATCATTGTTTTATCATTCTTAGATGCAAGAAAATTATTGAAGTGAGGCAAAGAACCTTTTCAATTCCAATTCATTTGGGTCACTAATAAAAGCTTTGAGAAAATGGTACAAGGTACTTAGAACAAGGGAAGTACTAAAAAAAAGTCATGGTCGATACACTTACATTAAACATACAACCAATATGGCTTTCAAATGGTGCTTATTAAGATATGCATAAGTGTTACATGTCTATGTTGTAGTCTAAGATATATATGACTCATAGAAGATGGAAGCTGGTGAGTTAGGTGTTAAGATACTTGAGTAGCAAATATCTCTCTCCTTAACAAATTATTATAGGGTCTCTTTCAATCTACTTGAAAGTCAAGTCAAGTCCTAATGCATAAGTATGTATATGATGGGAGTAATTTAAACACAAAAACATACAATGGTGATTCCTATATCTGGAAAAGCATTATCAAGGTGATCAACTAACTTAGATAATTTTGAAACCCATATTAGGTTCTACTATATCCAATTTTTAGTACACAAATTCGCTTGGGACGATGAAAATATGCATCGTATATACATTAGCTTCATCTTACAAATGGACACTCAACTATTCTTGTGACACGAACCCTATTTGAAAAATTGTATGAAAATTTAAGGTCCTAAAAAAATTTGATATTTTATATAACAAGTCCACTTAACATTGCCCACTAATAACAAGAGATGTTCCTGTCATCTTAAACTCAACCTTTTGTGTAGAGATGCTTTAGTCAAATTGAAACCATTTTTCACTATTTGATGTACTGTCCTCATTCCAAATAATTATAGATTTCCATTACATCCTTAATTGATGAGATTTTTGACAATATAAATACATACTCATAGTTAACTCGTATTTTATTTGATAGAAACAAATCTCATATGTTGACAATTTTTTTACAATTGTCAAAACGGTGGTCAAGTTTGACTGTATTTTGAACCAACAAATTTTTTTGGCATGATCATAGCATAAATGGGATCATTGTATTATGGAGAAACATTGACAACTTGTTTAAGACTTAATTATCACTCCCAAAGAGTTAGAAAAGGGAGATTTTGTGAGTTTCATGTTGGAAAATAGTAATCTAACAAATATGAGAATAACAGACTAAAATACAAAATATTACATTCCACGAAACATGATTCCTAAAAATACAAAATCATACCATAAAACAAATGTCTTCGTGTAAACTTTCGGCTTGCAGAACCTATTCCCTTAGATTATAAAGAAGTAATCAAATTCGATGTTAAAATTACATAGCATTCAATTAAAGAATAGGATTTTTTAGAGTATATATACGATAACATAAAGCTCGTATTTGTGCCGTACTTTATCGTTAATTTAGACTAAGTTCGCATCTTGGCATACTATTTCCAGGATATTATTGTTGAAAAAAAATAATTACAATGTGGGAAGTGTTTTTCGCAACAGAGAATAACATTTTCGAAGAAGACATCTGTTATAACCAAAGTCATTAGTATTGCAAGGACCCAAGTCAAAAATATATGACAGCGACAACAATGTGAAAAACCAAAAAGGAGGACATAAAAAGCTGGGAACAAATAGGCATTAAACCTCCCTAGTCAATATAATTAGGTATGAAGCAGCCAAAATCATTTGGCAAACATTCATATAAAGGAATGAGCAAACATTTTGAACCATCCACCATCAAAGTGGTCACTTAATTTCATTTTCCTCCGGATAGGAAAGGGAGCATGTGAGCAATGACCATCAGCAAATTTTCAAAGAAAATAATACCAAAGACACAGAAACAGTAAAGAAAAAAGGGAAACTAAGCATTGTTAGGGAATACATAAGAACACATATCTACAAATTGACAAGTCAAGTGACAAATATAAATTATGCAACAAGTTCAACATGACTTATTCTTCACCGGTGTTCGTTTGGATTTCAGCATGCCAGCTGGTCAACCTGTGTCTCAGTGAAATTTGCACACCCTCAATGGCTCATATTGTTTTCAGTAGA